GAGGACGAAGCAGACTCCCTGCCGAGCAGGAAGCCCGATGTGGGACTCGATCCAGGGACTCCAGGATCATGACCTGAGCCGAAGGCAGTCGCTTAACCAACTGAGCCACCCAGGCGCCCAGTTGTGAGCCTTGCATGCAAACATATCAAGGGACGACGTGTCACTTCTTCCCAAAGCGTTGAGGGGCAGCCAGGCTCCAGAAGGGGGAGCTGAGCCCCTCTCCAGCTCGGGGACTCAGCTGTTCGCTGCTCCAGGAGCCCCGGGAGGTTGTGCCAAACCTTGGGAGAGATTCATCTTCAGCTGTAGTTCCTTTTCGGCACCTCCCTTCTGGAGCCCCCACCCTCCCCTTTGGCTCCTGCCTTGCCCATGTCCCTCTTAGACTCACCTCTGGGGCTGAAACAGAAAGGCTGGGCTCCGGCTGGGTCTCTGCATGGCCTGGAGCAGGGAGCGCAAGAGTGACCCAGGGATCTGGGCCTCCTGCAGTGGGTGGGGTCCACTATCTTCCTCCTGTGGTTCAGGGGCATTGGGGAGGGAAGATGGGCAAAGGCCTTCATTTAGTTCACAAGGGCAAAGGAGTGACTTCCAGAGGCCAGTTGTAGGAGGCTGAGGAGCCACTTCCTCGGATGTGTGGACCCACTGAAGATCCTGGCAGCCAGAGTATTTGAACTGAGAGCACGAGTCTCAAGCCGAGGTAAAAAAATGGTGACGTGGGGGTGTGGGGGAGCGCCTGGTTGGCGCAGTCGGGTAAGCGGCCAACTCTTGGTTTCGGCTCAGGTCATGATCTCAGGGTTGTGGGATCGAGCCCCACGTCGGGCTCTGCACCCGGCGTGGAGCCTGCTGGAGATTCTCTTCCTGCCCTCTGCCCCTCCTCCCACTCTCTTTCTCTCTAAAACTCTTTTAAAAAATAAAAACAAAGAGAAATGGTGACACGGGGATGGGGTGGTAACTTACCATGAAGACCTGGTCTCCCTCGCCTCCGTGCCCCGGTCCCCTGGCACAGCCCCAGTGTGTTTGCAGCAGCACCAGCAGCAGCACTGCGGCCCGCCCGGACTCCATGCTGCCATCCACCTTCCCGCAGCCATACGCGCCTCTTATCCCTGCTGTGGCCCGGTCCCCCCACCCCGCAGCAGCCTGAGGGGGAGTCTGGAGCAGGCAATGGAAAGGCACCGCTCCATCAGGAGCCGCCTGGGATCCCCTCCCACGGCACTCCCGGGACTTCCTGCTCCCAGCCTCCAGCCCCCAGCCCCTAAGCCTGGAGTTACAGACTTTATTAGATGCATAAATCCTGTCTCCAGAGCTCAAGAAGCATCATTAATTGCGGACGCTTTGTCAGAGCCAGGCCCTGGGGGCCTTCAAGAACCCCCAATCCCTCAACAGGTTGGAGAGCTCCAATTGATCACCTCCTCTCTTTCCTAACTTGGAGAATAAAAGCATAGAGGAAGTCCTGTCAAGAAGGTCTAGGCACTATGTCTTGGAACAGAGGGAAGGTAGGAAGAGCCACAGGGTTAGAGCGAGCCAGGATGACCCAGCCTGGTCCCTCTCGGGACTGTGGCTGCAGTCAGGGTCACCCAGACCATTCACACCCTTGCCGATGTCTGCCTTGGGGGGGTTAAAAATGGAATCACTCCTCAGATTTGCCTGTGGATAGAAAAGTGGGATGTAGGAGGAGACCAAAAGGTTTCAGAGCTCACAGAAAGTGGGGATCGCTTCCAATCTTTGTAGACAAACCCCGTGTTCACGGGAGAGCCCTGCTCAGGATCTGCCTCCCCCGGGCTTCTGGAGCCAGCCTCTGCGGCTGAAGCACTGCTGCCACCCTGTGGCCACAGCTCTGCACTGTCAGAGCCGGCCATTTCCTTTTTCTGCTCTGTGAAGGGTGAGGGTAGATGGAGGTTCTTAACGCCCTGACTCTAAGGGGTCCCCGAAAGGCAGGGGCAGGATCTGGGGTTGGTATCTGGTTTCGTCCACCTCCTTCTAGTCACCCTGCCTGGTTCTGACCCGTTAGGGCAGGCGACAAGAATCTTGGCTTTTTAGGAAAAAATCATTTTCCCTCAAGAGAGGAGGTTTTCCTTCTGATCCTAGAATCCCTTCCTCAGCCATCACTGCCCCCCCACCCCCTGCCCTGCCACCCCCTGTGTGGTTCTCTAGCCTATGCTGGAGAGGTGCCATGGCATCAAGAGCCTGTGGATCAGTCTTGGGCAAGCAAGCTCTCTAAACTGCAGTTTCTTCACCTAAAACATGGCAACATTAAAAGGAACTACTTTCTAGGGTAAAGCATTATTTGAGATACTTTTTGTAATCCACTCAGCACAAGATATGGCACAGAGCAAGCGTCCTCAAAACATTAGCAGTGCTGATCCTTGCACACAGGAGCCCCAGCGAACTTTCCATCTGCTGAGACAGTGATCAGGCAGATTTATCCGGGCACCAAGCTGGCTTCCATCTCCTGTGGCCTCCACCATGGGATTCAGTTTGCCCCATTAAGTCACGGAACATTGCACATCTTTCATGTGTGCAAGCCTTTCACATATTTGAAGACAGATGTCCCTCTTCCACTCTAGTCTTTTCTTGTTAAGGGGATCCCTGCTCCCTTTAAAGCAAGGCATCTAGAAACCAATTTATAACTTTGGATAGGTAGGTTAGAGTGGCTTTCCATCTGGATGTTTTAGATACTAATCCGGCCTAAGCTAGGGTGAACCCTTCTGTATGCTTTGTCCCCCAGCTGGTCCCAAGCACAGAACCTGACGCTCCTCATCACTAAATCTTGGAATTTCACTGCTTCTTGAAAGGGACGATCTAGTCCATGGGCAGATGGTTTTTCTGTGGGAAATGGATCCTGTACCACTTCTCTGTTCTCCCCTGACAGAAGTCCAGAGGAGCAGGGTTGTGAAGGGGTGTGGGCCTCTAGATTGCACAGAGTGGCTCTGGGCTCAGACAGAGCTGTTTTCATCCCAGCTCCTGCACGTCACTGTGTGCCTCGGGCAAATGTCTCAAACTAAACCTCAGTTCATCTTAAATGAGGCAACTATTCCTGTTTATCAAGAGGTTGCTGCGAACAGTAAATGACTTAATGAATACAAAGCATCTAGTGTTCCATCTAGCAGAGCAGCTAATAAATGTTTGCCACCCTGACTCTCCTAGTATCTCTGATCATCAATTACAAGTGGACCTGAGCTGAGGCTCAATTCAGCAAAGGTCTGGTCTAGCTAACTTCCTATGTCCAGGAGGGAGGGGACCACTCTCTCCTTTGGTAGGTATAGGCACACCTTGGAGATATTGCTGGTTCAGTTCCAGACTACCACAATAAAGCAAGTAACACAATAAGGAGAGTCAAATAAAATTTTTGTTTCCTAGTGTATATAAAAGTTATGTTTAGGGCACCTGGGTGGCTCAGTCGGTTAAGCGACTGCCTTCGGCTCAGGTCATGATCCTGGAGTCCCGGGATCGAGTCCCGCATCGGGCTCCCTGCTCGGCAGGGAGTCTGCTTCTCCCTCTGACCCTCCTCCCTCTCATGCTCTCTGTCTCTCATTCTCTCTCACAAATAAAAAAAAAAAAAAAAAAAAAAAAAAAAGTTATGTTTACACTATACTATAGCCTATTAAGTGTGCAATAGCATTATATCTGAAAATAAAAACACAATAATGTGCATACCTTAATTTAAAAATACTGCTTAGGGGCGCCTGGGTGGCTCAGTCAGTTAAGCGTCTGCCTTCGGCTCAGGTTGGGATCGCAAGGTTCTGGGACCGAGCCCCACGTCGGGCTCCCTGCTCTACGGGGAGCCTGCTTCTCCCTCTCCCTCTGCCATTCCCCCTGCTCTCTCTTGCTCGCTCTCTCAAATAAAATCGTAAAATAAAATATTACTTAAAAAATGCTATCATCTGAGCTTTTAGCAAGTCGTTATTTAAAAAAAATTTTTTTAAAGTAAGCTCTACACCCAATGTGGGGCTTGAACTCAGGACTCTGAGATCAAGAGTCCCATGTTCTACCGACTGAGCCAGCCAGGCACCCTGCAAGTCATAATCTTTTTGCTGGTGGAGGTTCTGGCCTTGATGTTGCTCACTGCTGAGCGATCAGATTGGTGGGTTACTAAAGGGTGGGGTGGCTGTGGCAATTTCTTAAAATTGACAATGAAGTTGGGTACATCAATTGGCTCTTCCTTTCACAAACGATTTCTTTGTAGTGTGTGATACTGTTTGACAGCTTTAACACACAGAATTTTCAAAATTGGAGTCAAACTTCTCAAACTCAGCCGCTGCTTTATCAACTAAGTTTCTGTAATACTCTAATTTTTTTTTTTTTTTTAAATTTTAAGTCATCCCTACACCCAGCTGGGGTTGGAACTCACAACTGTGAGATCAAGAGTCGTGTGCTCTTCTGACTGAACCAGCCAGGGCCCCTATAATATTCTAAATCCTTTGTCATTTCTAGTCCTCACAGCATCTTCACTAGGAATAGATTCCATCTCAAGAAACCACTTTCTTTGCTCATCCATAAGAAGCAACTCATTTGTTCAAGTTTTATCATGAGATTGCAGCAATTCAGTTACATCTTCAGGCTCTACTTCTAAATCTAGTTCTCTTGGTATTTCCACAACTACAGTTACTTCCTCCACTGAAGTCTTGTACCTTCAATTTGTAAAAACAACAAAACACACACACACGCACACACACGCACGCTATCTGCAAAGCATAATAAGGCGATGTTGCAATAAAACAAGATAGGCCTGCAGTGGGAATGGGTTAATTATTCTAGAACTTGGGAAACTACCCTACCTTCAGTCTCCTCTCTTCCAAAACATCTCAATCTTGGCTTTGGTATTTGGCTTTCAGCAAATACCAAAGAAATACTTACTTTCTTACCCTTCTCTGGAACCCCATGCGCTCCTGACCACAACACAGTGAAGATCACCACTCCCTTTCCCACTGTCCTCCAGAGACTCAGTTTCCCTACTTGTGTCAATTATTGCAAACACCAACCGCAAACAGCTTCCGTGTCACTCCTCTTCTACTGAGAAAAATTCAGAGGCACCTGCTACCTCCTGGTCAAATTCTTCAGCCTGGCTCACTCTTCTCACCTGTGCTAATTATCTAGGGATACAGATTGCCCTACCTCTCGCCATAGTTCCTGACCATTACCTGTTTTTCTTGTGACTCCTACCTGCTTCTAAACAAGCTCCACCCCTCATTTCCTGAGCAAGCTCTTCCCCACATCCACAGAACTGACAATCATAGAATGCTTCACTTTCTCTCTGTTGTCTATGTGTGCACTCCCCCAGTCATGCCAGAAACTTCCTGAGAGTAGGGCTTGTTTTGGTTTCTATTGTTGGGAAGAAGGAGGGGACAAAACACTGAAAGAGAAGAGGCCGCTTGCCTTCAGACACCCTACCATCCCCTATCCACATAAAGCGCAAGAGTTCTGCAGTGAGGCTCCCAGGATGCCGAGGGCCCTTGTCCCCAGGGCAGTGCACAAATCTGAGCCCTGGTCTCTGTGCCTTCTTTCATGTTCTGTAATTTATATAAACCACCTACCTTCTTTAGGCTGTGTCTTCCCTGCATAAGAAGGAGGGATAAGAATCCCTGCTCCTTCTGTCCTCAGAAATGGGAGAGCAAGGAAGAGCACAGACATGAAAGCCCAATGAGTTCCCAGAAAGAGCGGCCAATGGGACTTGTAGATGAGAGTACTGAAGCATTAGACATAACAGTGGTTCTCTTGATAGTTTAATGTTATATTTGCAGCATAAATAAGGCACAATATATGTCAGGGCGAGGGGGAGCGGGAGAAGGCATGGCTGGGGGGATAACTGCTGGGTGGTAAGGGGGATGGGAGAGGGGAGGAGGAGGGAGAAGAGAGTGAAGCCTCTGCCTCAGCCCGTCCCAGGAGATTGTGAGAGCCTGCTCACAGGGATCATGCTGAGTTGGGTGGCAGGGAAAGGGACAAGACAGTTTTGTAACAAAACAGCCTGTAGCACTACATCCTCGCACATGTCAAAGTCCACCACTGGGGACTGGAGGAGACCCAGACCCAGAGTCGAGTTTCTTGATGAGATGGAGAGGCGTTGCTACATGTCAGAGATATACAGATGAACAGAGATATAACCATAGATACACACGGCTTTCTTTCAACAGATACTATGTAAGGAGGCAGCAGCCTCAACTGTTGGGGCTGGAGGCTCATCTCCCTGCCAGAAAGGGGTGTGTAGATGTGTGTGTGTGTGTGTGTATGTGTGTGTGTGTGTGTACAGGACAGCTAGAGCTCCAGCCGGTCCTTCCTGTAACAAAGAATGTGGAGTGACCAGTCTGCAAGGGAATATGGGACAATTCCTGTCCAGACCAAGGCAGGACAGGTTTTAGGAGGAAGTAGAAGGAAGACAAACCTAGATTTTGAGATGAATGACGTGGTTGTTGTTTTAATGGGGATGGAGAGAGGGACTGGAGGAAATGGAAAAATGTGTTAGTGCTCAGGCAGAGGATGGTACTTAAAATATCCCTGACACCCTACAAGGATGTCCCAGCTTGCCCCTAAGGAAATGGTTCTCACACTTTAGTGTGCATTAGAATCACGTGGAGTGCTTGTTAGAGCCCAGCCCGAGTTTCTGATTCAATAGGTCTGTGGTGGGGCCAGACATGATGTCTAACAAGCTCCCAGATGCTGGTGCTGCTGGTGCTCTACTGTTCCTGGACCACATCCTGAGAACCACCACCCTAAGGGAAAGCCAATGGAACTAGTGCTCCTGGCCATTTCTTACAGCTGAAACAGCACTCACCAGTAGCTAATGGTGGTGAGATAGCTCTGTGCTACCAGCTCCCCATTAAAAAAATAAAATAAACCCTAGCAGCTAAATACAAACCTGCACCTACAGAGGACATAGCCGCCTTAACCTGCCCTACTCTCCCCAGCTTCTTCTCAATCTGGGGTAGCATTTTACCCCAAAGAGCGACGAACGACCTGGTAACAGGGGGTGGGAATGGTGGCCAGCAGCTGATGCTCATTCCTGCTGGGTCACCACTCAGGGGTGGGTGGGTGGGTGGGGATTTATGTCTGTGTACATGCATGTGTGCAAACACAAACAGAGAGAAATCAGTTCTATACTATGAGAGGGATGGTTAGGGTTGTGGGAGGCTGAAGTAGGAAGGGGGATCCTCTACTCTGCCTTAGGACCCTCGCCTGTCCTGTTCCTCCCTCCGCCCCTGTCAAACAAAAGTCTAAAGAAAGCAGAAAGAGCATATCAACAAAGGCATATGTGATATAACTAGGAGGACTGGATTCTAAACGGACTGGTTATGAAATTAAAGAAAAAAAAAGAATACATTTCCTTCCTGTGTATACAATGTACAATATTAATGAAAAATAATGATTTGGGGATGGGAAGGAAGTCATGAAAGAAAGAGGGAGCTTTCGGGGGGAAGGGCGGTCTCAGGGCTAGCACCTTTAAAGGAGCCTCTCAGTGTGGAGCACGGGAGCCTCAGAAACCACAGGAGGAATATTTTGGTGTCTGCTTGGTGGTTCAGGCTATAGACAGGGCATGGTTATAGTTAAGTACCCCGTCAACCAGGATGGGTGGTGCTGGAGGGCAGTGAATCAGGATAGGAGCCAAGAACAACAGAACAGGCACAGGGAAGGCGGCAAGGTGAAAGAGGTTCAGTGAGGCCATCTCCTTGTTTACCACTACCAGGAGTATATGGTCTAGTGCTCAGGGCCAAGGAGAGGAGTGGAGGCTGAAGGAAGCCAGATTTGGGGCATACAACCAACAGGGAAAGAGTAAGGGAGGGCCTATTTTTCTAGCTTTCTTTAGCAGTGAGGGAAGCTTTCCCAGACTTTTCAATTCCGAGCAAGCTTTCTTTGAAAGGACTAGGACAAAGTCTGCAAGACTGCAAACCTGGTCTGGTACCTTTCTCTATGGCCTTGGTTATCTACCAGCTGTCTCTCTCAGATGAGGCGGGAGGCCGGAGTCTTGTGTTCACTCAGAAGAGTCCCAAGGCATCCATACTCCCAGCTCCTTTCAGAAAGTATCTTCCCTTAGGCCCCTAGAAAGGCCATGGTCAGTAAGAAGGGCTAAGTGACACCCTCCATGATGTTTGGTTCTGGTCCAGATGAGTTTGGAAAGCAGAGGGGAAGGGGAGTGGCCACAGGGCTGGCAGCAGTAACAAGGTACGTGACATTCCCCTTAACTATGACAGAGTCTCAGGATAAGCAATAGTCACGGACCACCTAAAGAGTGATCTAGGAGGTTCTGTCCTGCCCCTTCCTACTGCTTTACTACTTAGGTTCTGGCAATGCCCCTCATTTAGGTCCCTAATAACTTCCTACCAATGAAAATGAAGGACTCAAGAGAATGAGACGTGGGGACTAAGAAACTAAATAAGACCCTCTAAATAAATTAGCTATCCTACCCAGGGACAGACAGACAGACAGGACTCAAACTTCCTCCAAGGCCAAGCAGTAAGGCAGGGCATGTGTGCAGTGACAAAAGGATTCTTATCTTGAAAAACACTTGACTAAAGTGGGAAGAAAAATAGTCAAGGGTCTTACGAAGGCTCCTTAGGAGCCATAAACTCAGTCAAGCTTTAGGGCAAGGCTGCTGGTGGGAAATCAAGAAAGTAAAAAATGAAACACAACTAAAGCAGAAGTCCCAGGGCACAGCCGTCTAAAGGAAAAGTCCTGAGTACAAGTTATGGCTGTGAACTGTTAAAGGCAAATGAAGTCCCTGGAGGTGGTAAGTGGCATCCTGACCATCTGCCATGCCATTTGCTAGACTGAGTCACCTCAGGGGCTGTTCCTGTTGGGTCCCGGGTGGTAGAGGATGAGAAAATCATGTTTTCTCTCCTTTCTCTTCACCAGGTGTGTCTTGCTCAGCACCGGCTCTGAAAAGCAGGAGGGGAAATTAAAACAGACGCAATAGAACATGTCCTCTGCCTGGCTCACCAGTGTATCATCTATGAAGATGGGAATCTTGCAGCTTAGAACGTTCCCTCATTCCCCCATGACAGCCAATTCTGGAAGACAAACTAAGAAAGGAAGCTGGCAGTTATTCTGTATGTAAATTTAAGATGGAGGTAGGAGAGAGGGAGAAAAGGACATTCTTGGCTTGGGCAGATGGCAGAAGGTGGCTCTGGGACAACTGGAAGGGATTCATACTGACAGGCTATTAAAGCTGACCTATCTATCCACAGGCCTCTGGCTTTGGATTGCTTCCTATGGCCCTGGTAGAAACTGCATAGTTCAGAGCCAAAGGAAGATGAGAAGTCTTAATGGGGAAGAAAGAGGGACAAGAGGGATGAATTTCTCCCCCTGTAACCTAACTCCTCACAGTAAGAATGGCTGAGAGCAATAGTCACCAATTTCCCAGGCAGGCCAGACCTTCACCAAACAGGGGTCTTCTGCTGAGATCAATACTGCGCCTCCTCTTTCCTGCCTCTTCCCATCCTACCTCATCCTCAAGAAAACCCACTCAGGACCCTGGCTCTGATGCCTCAGAGTCCTGGGGCCAGGCCTCTGGGGACACACTGCATCTAGGGGGGCAGAAAGCAGAGGAGAGCTGAAGAAATACTACAGGAGCAGAGAGACCTAGTGGCTAGCCTAGGAGCCTGGTGAACGAGAGAAGGGAGATCCAGGGTGAGGGACACTTGTGAACAGAAGACCCTAGCCCGGAAAAGAAGACAGCTGGGTGAGGCTGGGAGATGGGAGAAGAGCAAGGAAGTGCAAGAGTGCCCTACACAACAGCTCCAGAGGGCTGCACCTGGAGAGAGACAGAGGCAGTGACCCGGGCAGGGGAACAAAGAGGGAGAGGCAGGTGCGGACAGACGACCAAAAGGAGTTATGTATGCTTTGGCCAGTATAACTCTTTTAAGACATAAAGAATCAATCCAGTAACCTGACAGAACGAGCGTCAAACTCTCCTGTTCCTGCCTGCCCTAATGATCACTGCAGGAGGGTGGACTGCGGAGGAGGCGGGTCAGCCAGTCACACCTGGGGCACTTTCCCTTTTCACCAACGAGCAAGAGCTAATAAGGCCACAAGATGATCTTGCCAAGGCTTAGTGGTAGGTGGAAAGGGCCCCACCAGTAGACTGAGAAAACTCAAGACACAAAACGAGAGACCCAAATAGCTCTGGAAATAGCTGAAAAAGGACTAAAATTCTTGGGGTTTTGTTTCTTTCTTTTTGCTTTGTTTTTTTTGTTTGTTTTTGGGTTTTTTTGGTGGCAGGTAGGGAGAAGGACTAAAGTTTATGGAAGAGCTGGAAAATACTGCTAATTCATACATCAAGGGTAATTTTACATTCGCCATAAATGAATGTTTGAACTAGACTTCAGGAAGGGGGTAAAGGGATAAAATAAGCAATTAATGGGAGATCAAGTCCTGAGCCCACTGGGTGGCTGGGGCGGGCCAGCGGGTGACCTGCCATCAATACTAGCCTCCCTCTACCTAGCAGGAAGTGGCGTGCTGCTAAGGAACAGGAAGGTAACAGCCATGGCTTAGTGGGAAGAGAGGGAACTGAGAAACCCAAAATCTAGCAGTGCAAGGGTTAGTGTTAAAAGAGACAGGTACACATGCACGGGCAGGGGTGATTGTTCGGACCATCTGGAAAGGCCTTTGGCTGTGGGTGCATCAGAAACTGCCCCCGTAGGGGATGATCTATGTGGCTCTGGGGCTGGGAGGCTCCTAGTACAGGTATTAATGTACATGACCATGTGGCTGAAAAGCCCCGCATCTGTCCGTTACTCACAACACACAATTTCCCCCCCCCCATGTTGCCATGTCCAAGGCAGACGGGAGGCGATAAGATGACATCTCTCTTGGCTCTCGGGCGGGCGAGCTCTGACTGGGGACCTCTCCACCAGGGGAGGCATCATCTGCCCGCAGACTGGGACTGTGGGGTCATGATCACATGCGACTGTATCGGCATGCTCAGTTCTGTCCTTTGGCTGGCCATCTGAGTGAGGACCGAGGTAGCTACAGCTTCAGCCGCCGAGCGAACACTGAGGCCATTGCTAGGGGCTGTTGCTGAGCTGTGCTGAATCACAGGGGCTGGAGAACCCGTCGGCTCTGAGCTTTCTTTGGGGCTTTCTGCCAGGAAGGAAGACAGAGAGCAGAGAGCAAGTGATTAGAAAAGAGAATGGGGAAACAAGCAAGATCACCTTGTGCCATTAATTCTAAAGGAGCCCAAAAGGAAAAGGAAGCCCCCATCATTCTGGGGGGAAAACTTCCCAGAATCTTAGCTTCTAAGCCACGAAGGGGCTAGGAAACAGGAAGTTGTGAGAAGAGACGCAAGAACTAGGCCCAAATTAATCTATCTATCTCAGTAGAGTAACCCCCCAGGCATGTTAATTACACCGTCTGGTTTCTGCGTCTTTGTGTAGTTCATTACCCCTACTGGAACACTCTTCCTTTCAGTCATGTCTTAAAAGGTGATTTATTTAAAATAGATTTTTTTTTTTTTAAGCTATCCTCTCTGATTAATTCCCACAAGAATTTAATCATTCTGTTATTTTTTATGTTCTTTTAGCATGCACTTGCACCCCAGGGAAGCCTGGTAAATATCAAGCTCACTCAGATGAGGTTATGAATGACCAGTCCTTGGCCAAGGTTCAGTTAATACAACAAACTACAAAGAGGCCGGTTGGATCCTCCTGACTATCAATTAGCTAGGCATTAATGATTGAAAACATTTATTATGGGCTACGCCACTTCACCTAAAGTGATGATAACACTTTACTGATAAACACAAATATCTGAGCTGCATACAAAGGTAACTCCATGTGGCTCTGCAGTCAAGTTGTATGAAACATCACACAGCCTCCACGGCTGCTTAAACAGAGATGTGTGGAATAAATAAGGGCCAACCAGTGGTTGTATTTTTCATTCTCTCCTGATGAATGTCTGAGTCTCCTTTCAGGATTCAAATATAACCTCTTCTGTGAAACCTTCTTTGTTATGCTCATGAAATTAACTACCTCATCACTGGTGCTTTCAGAGCACACATTCATCTATTCATCATTTTACTGAGCATATACCATGTGCCAGCACTGCGGTATATAATGAATAAAACAGGAGCCCTGTCCTCAAGAAGCTCCCACTCCAGGGGCTCTTTGACTGGGCTATCTGTGCATACCTTATTCACAGGCTGACATGTTTATCTCCTCATAACTCTGAGTCTCTCAGAGGTACAGTGTGTCATTGGCCTGAGTCAAATACCTACCACAGTGTCTACACCACACAGCAGGAACCAAATACATCTTTGCTGTAACAAATAAGTAGCTTAATGGATTGCCTGCCCCTCAAAAGTTCTTGAAGGGATTGAGCAGAAAACTTACTGTATATCAATATCATACTGATGAATACTCAATCCTTGCCTTCCTTTCCCCATCAAAAGGATTTAAAATGTTGATCACTAAACTCCTGGAAACACTTTCTTATCCTGGTTTCCAGAATGCCACACTCACTACTCAGCTTATTTTCCTCCTGCCTTCTTGGTGGCTCATTCCGCCTCATTTGTGGGTTTCTTCTCCTTTCTCTGACCACTAAATGTTGGAGTACCCCAGAGCTTGGTCCTGCGACTACCTTTCTTCTTTCTGTCTGTGCTCTTTCAATAACGAAACCATTTCATCTGGTTTTGTGGCTTTAAAAACTAACTACATGCTGCTGACTCCCAAAGTTGTATCTTCAGCCTTTTCTCTGAACTGCAGGACCATATAACCAGCCTCCACTTGATACCTCCGCCTGCAAGCTTCTTAAGTTCAGCTTGTCCAAATCTGAGCTGCAGACACACCTCCTAATCCATTTGCTTCTACCCTTTCCTCTACTTCAACTAATGGCAACTCCACTCTTGCAGTTGCTCAGGCCAAAAACTTTGGTGCAGCTTTTGATTCTTTTCTCATATATACCACCCCATCTGGCCCGTCATCAGACCCTGTCACTCTAACTTCAAAATATACCCTGAATTCAACCCCTTCTCCCCATTTTCACTACCACCATCCTGGCTCAAGGCTCCACCACCTCTTGCTCACATGATTGCCACAGACTCCTAAATGGACTGCTTGCTTCTGCTGTGCACTCCTGCACTCTCTAACAGAGTGATTCTGTTCAAATGTAAGTCAGACCAGTCATGTCACTCTTCCTCTAAAAACCCTCTAATGGCCCCCCATGTAGAGTAAAAGCCGAGGTCCTTACTAGGACTGATGAGGGCCTATATAAAAATGTTCCTGTTAGCTCCCCTACCTCATCTCCAACTACTCTCCATCCCCGGTTCTCTCCAATCCAGCCTTGATGTTCCCAGAATGTGCCAGGTGCATCCCACTTTGGGTTTTTGCATTTGCTGTTCTTCCCGTTGGCAGTACTTTTCCTCCCATATAAATGCATAGCCAGCTCCGTCACTTCCTTAAAGTCTTTATTCAAAACCCACCTCATCTAAAATTTCAACCCTGCCGCCAACATTTCATATTCCTCTTTCCTGTTTTATTTTTTCTTCCAAGCATTTACTCTTATCTAATAGACCATATATTATACCTATTTATCTTGCTTATTGTCTGTCTCACCTACTAAAATATAAGCCCCTCAAGGGCAGGGATTTTAATCTAATCTATCTGGCCTCCTATTATATCCTCAGCATATAAAACAGTGCTTGGCAAAGAAGAAGCTCAATCAGTATCTGCTTAATGAATGAATGTATCCTGAAGTACATATTAAAATTAAAATTTAAATAGAGATGTTTAAAATGAGTGATGTGGTTACTCTTTTTCTATGCGAACACATCTCTGAAATGATAAAAACAGTTAGTGGAAAAATAACTTAATATATCAAAATTTGATAGCCAAAATTTCTAGGAATTTATTAAATTTGTAAAGGAAAATGTTTTACTAGCTTTCACTGTCCATAAGCAAATTATTCACAGTAATTTTAATTTCAGGACTGTGCTTGTCCCGAGCACGACTCTATGACCATCTCTTTCTAGCACTATTTTATGTGCGCACATAGGTTACAAATTAAAACCACCATGGGTCCATCATTAGAAAGATAAAATATACCCCCATAGCACAATGCTTAACAAACGCCAATGTATCATCTATTGTTTATATTCTCTTGAGGCCAAGATAGCGTCTTTGGAATAAGAAAGACCTAGATGGGAATCTTGGCTCTGCTACTTCACCAACTGTGTAACTTCAGGTACATGACTATTCTGAGTGGTTTTACTGTATATAAATGGAGGCAATATCTATTTCATGAGAGAATTGGGCAGATGGTAGAGGGCCTAACACAAAGTAGGCACCTGATAAATATTGCTACCCTTTATCTCCCATGATAGATAATTAGGATAACTCTATATGGTTCTGAAAACAAAATTATTTTGTAGGACTGGCTGTTCCAGAAAGGCTGCTCATTCATCAGTGTGGATCCCTCCAGAACATTCAGAATGGGATTATAAAATTATAAATAGTTGAGACAGTCGGTACATGCAGTTTACTGACTGACTACCCTTGCTTAGGTTGTGAGCCACTCACCTAAATAGCCTTGGGTCTTTTTCTGTAGTGCAGTAACCGGGCAGTCTTTATGAGCTAACAGTAGCTGTTTCAACTGAGCCACCTCATTGCGTAGCAACGTGACTTCGTTCTGAAGAGGGAGGGAAGAAAAGAGTATCAAGAAAATGCACCCTCCACCCCTGTGCCCCCAGTGGCTGTCCCCACGGTGAGGACAGAATGCTGCCTGGATTTTCTCCCCTGAATCTGGGAGACTCCTCATCCCGCAAGGCTTCAGACAGCTCAGGGCCAGTACAGTCATGAATTCACTGACAGGAGCTGCTTACAGTGAAAAGGAGGGATTTATAACAGAAACATTATTCCTATTTAGGATAAACATAATCATACCAAAATTAATAATGCATATGTCCTCCGACTAAGAAAGCCTACTTCAGGGGCGCCTGGGTGGCTCAGTTGGTTAAGCGACTGCCTTCGGCTCAGGTCATGATCCTGGAGTCCCTGGATCGAGTCCCTGGATCGAGTCCCGCATCGGGCTCCCTGCTCGGCGGGGAGTCTGCTTCTCCCTCTGACCCTCCCCACTCTCATGTGCTCTCTCTCATTCTCTCTCTGTCAAATAAATAAATAAAATCTTAAAAAAAAAAAAAGAAAGCCTACTTCCAGGAATCTATTGAACAAAGCTACCTACTCAAGTGCATACAATGTTAACTATAGCACTGCTGTTCTGGCAAAAAATTAGAAACACTGTAAATACCCATACCTTAAAATATAACCACGCTACAGAATATACTACCATAGAGCTATTAAAAAAAATGAAGTAGATTCTCTAGACAGATGGCCAGATCTCCAGGAGGAGATACTATCAATCTAGGTATGTTAAAACACAGTCCCTCCCTGACTACCCTACAAAAAGTATAAATGAAAAAAATATTTAGAAATACATGTATGTTTGGTAGGTACACACCAAACTCATCCACAGGAAAGAATAAGACTGGGAAAGGCATATTGAAGAACTTTGGTTTTGTTCTATACACTTGTGTGTGCATGTAGGTATACATATGTTATATACATAAATATATTCATATATACCTTTGAAGTGAAATCTTATAATAAGTTATCAAAAGAAGGGAAAATAATATTCAAGAAAATATCTGGATTATAATTTTTCTATTTGTGCTTGTGTGGTTTTTTCTTTCTTTCATTAAGCTGCATTATCCGGGGCAAATACATTTCCCTTTGGGTGCTCCACGACCCCAGTTGGATTCGACTGATGACCTAAAAGAGTACCCTGGGACAATTAATCTAATTTCCTCCATCCAAATGGGTCTGTGGATGATTCAGACTCTAGCAACAGGTTTGGGAGTAGATGGTGAGTCTTTTCCAACCCCTGGGGAAGAGATTTCAATTTTGACAGTTAAGAGTTTCTTTCTGCATTCTTCCTGGCACATCTTCTGGTACAGTCCTAATTTAGAGTTATCATCTTCTTTTATTTTTTATTTATTTATTTATTTATTTTTTAAAAGATTTTATTTATTTATTTGAGAGAGAGAGAATGAGAGAGCATGAGAGGGAGGAGGGTCAGAGGGAGAAGCAGACTCCCTGCCGAGCAGGGAGCCGGACGTGGGACTTGATCCCGGGACTCCAGGATCATGACCTGAGCCGAAGGCAGTCGCTTAACCGACTGAGCCACCCAGGCACCCTCATCTTCTTTTATACTGTTTCACTTTTTTCTGATTCAATCTCAGTTTCCAGATTCATCAATCCCAATAACCACCCAGGGACCCACTCACACTCAGCTGAATGTTCTGAGAAGTGAGTTCCTCTGCCTTCTTCTCGAGGGAGGACACCCAGAGCTTCCGCTTTTGACGGCAGCGGGAGGCTGCAGCCCGGTTGCGCTCCAGAAAACGCTGCCGCCGTTCATCAGGATCTTCATCCACTGTGCGTCGCCGTCGCCCTCCCGTGCTGGGAGTGGGCTGGGCTGGTGAGACCTGGGGCCCAGAAAGAGGAGTTACTTGAAGGGAACATCAACCCTTTGCAAATTAAGCCTGATGTCAGGTAGGTTAGTAAGCTCTGGTAAAGATCTGGTAAAGGGATGTACCAGTCTCTGCAACCAGAGCATGTCTCATCACTATGCCCCTGAGTTTCTCTTTTCTCTGCCTCCCCATTTCCTTCCAGTCTTCTCAGCCCCAAACTTAGATAAACCACAGCTCAGGTGGAAATTGATTATTTCTTTTTTGGAAATTGATTATTTCTGAGACAGACAGACAAGATGAAGCTAGCGTCACTTTTTGTTTCTTAACAACAGGGAATCTTCCTGTAGGAGGGGAAACCGTAATGGGGGCTGGGTGTCGGGGGAATTTTTAGGGAGACAGGAATAAAGATATTTGAGAATCACTGATTTGGACAAGCAATATATACAAACAATTGAATGCTCCAACAAGTTTCAGAAAAGGAGGAAAGACTTTACTACTGGTGAGATACTGGCTATCATGGAGAGATATGGATTAGTACATTCTTATTTATAGTCCGTTATTAATCATCCTCAGCAATCACCCTCCCCACCTTGTTTGTCCTGTTTGTTTTTATGCAAAAAAACATTTTTAATCCCTTTACACACTGGTGATATAGGACAGCCTTTTGTCTTTAAACTTTAGGCTGACGTCCTCTGTCACTACAGTACTTCTGGATCATCTTCCCTTTCTATTAGCTGGTATGTGTTCAGAGAAGATAGACCAACTTTATAAGAGCAGGCAAAATTAGAATGTAGAGAGGTCAGCCATCTGTATAAAAGAAACTATATAAATGTAAAAACAATGCCAAAAACAAATTCTTCCTGGATCTGTTGCTCTTAGAAAATATCTATATTAGTAGTTCCCAAGGGCCAGAGCTCACATCAGTTGCATGAGACTAAGCATGAGCTTATAAAAAACAGAATCTTATACTCCACTTCAGGCCCTACTAATTCATGTTCTCCATTAATATAGATAATCAAGAGGTAATTTTATTTATTCACACTAATATTATCTCTCCCAAAAGAAAAAATGGAGAAGAAATTTAAAACTCAATTTAACGAGCCGGAGGCCTTGGGTCATTGCTTCTCACTGTACTATGGAAGTTTATACTAATTCTCTTGAGACTTCAATTTCCTCTTTGTCCTGAGCTTGGTGGAGCACAGGGGAAGACCGCCACTTTAGGGGGATGAGGAAAAGAAACGGTAGGTTCTCATTCTCTCACAGTAACTCAGCAGCTCATGCAGGGAAGAGAGCTGAAAGAACACCAAGGGAAAGAAGGGAAGAATGAGAAAGAAAGGGATCAGCGGTGACTAAAAAGGAAGTCACGTCATTTTCTTGAGAGGGCAGCAGCACGACTCAGGCAAGGTGGCTACTGCTTTGCCATTTCCAGGGACTGGCATCGGAAGGGGTTCTAGGAGGGAGGGCCAGCTCAGCTTCCAACAAGAAAACTCAAATGAAGGCTTTAGTTGTTGGCCAAGCTTTACGGCGGCATATGGCCATTAAATGTTAGGACATGTGGTGGTAACTGACAAAGCAGGTGGTGACATCAGAAAAAGGGGCTGGACAAAGATGTAATTCTAGAAACCCATCTCAGGTTGTTGTCACCTGTCCAGTGCAGATACTACAAAAACTAATAAGGCCTATTCAGTTTTCAAAGAAACTTATTAAAACGGAGGCTTCCTTGGGAAAAGAACGGGGCATACAAAAGGGACTATTCTAGCTTTAGTAAGACTTTCATTTCTCCGTGATAAAAAGGGATTAAATTGATAGGGAAAAGGTGTTCTATTATGTCTATTTACTAAGCCATCTTAGTACTGTGACACCCATTTTACTCATATATTGTTATTACCTAATTTTGGCTACAAAACCTAATCAGGTAAGTTTTTTGGGTTCTTGTTTTTGTCTTTGCTTTGGTTTGTTTATTTTCTGTAAGACTTAACACACGGGAAAGAGACTAGGGGAGCCTCCTTTGGTGCACAAAGTGGTTTGCGTCAGGTTCTGTCACATTTTAGAGGGTTTTGCAGATACGTCATGCACATAGAGAAAAAACCGAAAACCAAAAATTGAGAACTCTTCTCTGCCAGCTCCGCATTCTCCAGCTTGTCTGATGTGAATATAACAGAAGAGTAGATAAAGACTGGTGCATTCTGCTACTGTCCAACTGTTAACAAGAACCAGAACACACGAAGATGCCGAGAAGACTGAAACCCGCTCTTTCTGCTCCTCGAAAACCAGACGTAACATAGAGTAACGGTGACACAGCAGGCTCCCCCGTCCAAGGGCCCGACGGACCTGTGGCTGGGCAGGGGATGGGGCATCAGGGTGCTGGATGAGGAGCTGGCTCTGCTCAGGACGGGCCGTCACCATGGTGCTGGCAGTACCCGCCACCATTCCACACCCACCATTGATTGAGGAGACTTGGTGGGTTAGCGTGGCTTTTAGTCTCTGTAGGGAACAATAATAAAAAATTGCTTGTCAAGGGTAAGATTCTAGCACGGGTGAGGAGAGAGGGCTTAGATTTTAATGCTGACCTTATAGATCACTAAAATGTCCACACCAATTTGCCCTTAACAGAGGAGTTAAAAGAAAATGACAGGGAGAATGTGCACCTGGATCCCTAACATGCCTACTCTGTTCCTTGGCTATCATCCTGGGCACAGTTGGAGGGTGGGGGTTGTTGAAGTAATAGAGTCCAGATGAAAGTTCTCTCCTGGAACCTGGCCAGGTGCTGGTTACGCAGCTATTCACCTCTTGGCCAGCTCTCCTGCCCACTCATCCACCCTCCATCTGTCACCCTGGAACTGAAACAGCAAGCATTCCACTCCAAACAATCTGTGCTGCCTCTTTTCACTGCCATGGTCTATGTACCAGGCTCTAAAGGCAGGAGAGAGGAGAGAGGAGTCATGAATCAGGGTCTCTTCTTTTCCAGACCCCACCGCAGGGTATCTTCAGCTTTGCAAGCCCCAGAAGGTTTCTTTGCCTGGCTCACTTGAAAAACCTAGGCTGGTAACACTTCTTTCGAAAGGGCCAACACTGCCCCAAGCTGGGATGTACTCACCATCTTGGCTTCTGATGGCATAGGGTGGCCAGAGGGAGAAATGGAACCACTGCTGTTAACTGGTGGGCCAGGGATACCAGGAATGTTGGGCACCACAGACACAGGTCTGGCCAGCTGGATCAAGAGGAGGAGGAAAAACCAGAAGGGAACATAATACTAGTGGTGGGGCAACAGCTCCAAAATGAAGTGCTTTGGAGACTGGCGTGTCAGGGCCTGTTCTGTGCAGCCTGTCCAGAGGGCACAGAGGGACAGCCTGGGAAACACCTTTCCCCACGGAGCACCACAGGGTAGGGAATCGAATCCTTCAGGGCTGTGACAATTTCCATGGGAACGGCTGGGGCTGAATCTTGAGGAAAGTGGTGGGCAATGTGGGAGGCGCTAAGCGCCAAGTGGTATCAACCACTCAGCAGGCTGGCAAGATCAATTCCTAGACCAGGAGCCAATTGTCCGGATGAGTCTTTGTCTAGTGCTCCGCAGTGCTGGATTGGCAGAGGTTAACAGAGAGTTTAGGCAGGCTGCCACGCTCAGCTAATACAGACCAGAGCCCCCGTTTCCCTGGGGCGCATGTGTGTTTATGAGCATTCAGGTGGAAGGGAGGGATTAGTGTGTCGGCAGGGCTGGCTGCGCCAACGACAGAGCTCACCGATATAACAGAAGGCATCTGTACCGCAGGCCCCGGCAGCACAGGCATGGTCTGTCCGTTCGCAAGATGCATGACGAGAGGGAGGGAGCCAGTGGGAGACCTGAGGAGACACGAAGTGAAATGCTCATCATACAGACCCTTTGTCTATGGATCTTCCCCCTATAACTACAGCAGACTGCCCAGGCTTCTCTAGTTAGGGAAGCTACAGGGCAACACTATAAAATCTTGACACCCTCATGAACGTGGAAGAACCAGGGAATGCCTCCTACCTTACCTTACAGATGGACAGATGGCCAGAAATGGGAAGATCTTTACACCTTGCAAATTAAGCAAACACCACTGAATTCAAACGGGTGGGAAGCTAATCCTATTAAGATTTCAGAACAACGAAACAAACATCCCTACCACTGGCATGTATAAATTCTGTCTTGCCTTAGCTGGGACTTGGGCCAAAGTTGTCATTTTGCAAAGCTGAATTATGTCATATGATAGCCAAATATGAGTAAGTTTCTCCTGTTCCTTTGCATGTACTGCTCTACCTTGTCCCCAAAAGATGTCACTTCGTATTTTTCCTTGTGGGTCCAGAGAACAATAAGCTTTAAGAGGCTGAATCCTGACAACAACCTCTAAACCCATGGGTACCTGGGGACAGGAGCTCAAGTCACCTCATTAGGAAGTCTGTATGGACCACGCCAGGACTGAAGACAGACAAACAAAATTAGGGGTAGCAAAGACCAAGAACCCCAGACTGAGGGGGAACACCAGACTCAAAAAGATGACAATGGGTTTCAGCCCATCATTCAGTAATGCCCTCCAAACCTTGTACAGATCGAGGCCAAGAAGTAAATATACTTCCCTGTGTGGCTTCCACCATTATGATGAACTTCCTAAAGTTTTAAAGATTCTTCTTTTAGATCAAAGAAGTATTAAACCTCCAAATTCAGGAAGTATTATCCCCAAATAAATACTTGCTTGTTTACTAATAAGGTAAAGGAGATGTCTGCTTATGGGGGGATATTTTATTTTGAGAGACAATCTCACTGACTCGTTTTCTTTGAGTATTCAAAAACAGTCCCTGTTTTTTTTTTTTTTTAACCAAGTACAAAAAGGTTCAGGCTCCACTGTTTCTCCCTGCTTTACTTACCCCAGCTGCCTGTTAGATGGTGGAGCCTGTGTGATGACAGAAGTTGGGGAGGGAAGGGTCGGGTGAAGTGGATCATAGCCCAAGTGGAGAGGTAGGGAGCCAGGGCGCACGATGGTAGGTGTGGGGGTAGAGATCACGACAGGCTTTAGGGCCACCTCCTGAGGAGAAGAGACCAACAGAACACAAAATGCTATAAGGGGCTGCTTATAGGAAAATATGTAGCTGGTTAAATGTAGTACACATTTACTGGAAAGAGCACTACAGTGACTCATGTAAATCATGCCCTAACTCTATCATGATCATGGACCCATACTTCACTCGCCCATTCAATAGGAATGCTGAGTTAAAGCTTTTTGGCTATCTCCCTTCAGGGATGATTGCTATATGAATGAGATGAGAGTTGGAAAATCACTTGAAATCTTTATAGAAGCACTGTAGTGCCATATAACTTCCAAGGACTGTCATAATTTTTCACTCTTTATTCCAAATCTGATGGCTGAGTGTTCTCTGATCTCTAATGAAAAAAAGGCAGGGTGTAAGACTGGTGAGAAGGCAACCTAGTATCTCCTACAGACATATACCCCCACTCCCACCTTTTTATTTTAGTAAGCTCTATGCCCAATGTGCGGCTTGAACTCACGACCCTGGGATCAAGAGTTGCACGCTTTACTGACTGAGCCAGCCAGGCACCTCCAGATGGATCCCTTTAAAAAAGGCTATGGAAGAAAAGGCTATGCAAGTTTAAGGGTCATGTTGTAATAAAACAAACTGCTTCTCACTGTTAACTTGTTTGGGACCTCAGTTGCTAGTGGCCACACTGGCCCTCACACATCTCCCGACAACTGTTAGGACCTGGTTGCTAATGAAAAGGGGAGGGAGGAGGGACAATTGTAATGTTTATGTAAGAGGTAGTTTGGAGAAGTTATCAAACCAAATTTGGAGGGAGGTAAAATGAGGTACAGATGCTCTACCCACAGGGAACATTAAAATTAATAACCCCTGGTAGAGCAGTAGAGATTGGAAAGAGGCATGAGGGGGCTTCTGAGGTTCTGATAATATCTGGGTGCTGGTTACACAGGCTGTAAACTTCATGAAAATTCAGTGAGCTATATACTCACAATTCATGCACTTTTCTGTATGTATGCTATATTTCAATAAATTTATGAAAAATACTACCTCATAAAAAGTTTCCTTTAAAAAAATAATACTCAGGGGCGCCTGGGTGGCTCAGTCGTTAAGCGTCTGCCTTCGGCTCAGGTCATGATCCCAGGGTCCTGGGATTGAGCCCCGCATCGGGCTCCCTGCTCCGTGGGAAGCCTGCTTGTCCCTCTCCCACTCCCCCTTCTTGTGTCCCCTCTCTCGCTGTCTCTCTCTGTCAAATAAATTAATAAAATCTTTAAAAATAAATAATAAAATAAAATAATACTCAGAATTCTAGCAGATTTTCTCTTTGAGTCACTACAAGCCTTCCTTCTAAAAGATTTTTTTCCGGGGCGCCTGGGTGGCTCAGTCATTAGGCATCTGCCTTCAGCTCAGGTCATGATCCCAGTGTCCTGGGATCAAGCCCCACATTGGGCTCCCTGCTGCACAGGAAGCCTGCTTCTTCCTCTCCTACTCCCCCTGCTTGTGTTCCCCCTCACTGTGTCTCTCTCTGTCAAATAAATAAATAAAATCCTGGAGAAAAAAAAAAAGATTTTTTTCCAAAATCATTTAATGTCCAATTTATGAATTACATAATTTTTCTTTCCCACTTAATAACTGAAGTACAGGAGCACCTGCGTGGTGCAGTTGGTTGGGAGGCCAACTCTTGGTTTCAGCTCAGGTCATGATCTCAGGGTCGTGAGACTGAGCCCCATGTTGGGCTCCACAGCGTGGAGCCTGCTTGGGATTCTCTCTCTCCCTCTGCCCCTCCCCACTCCTCTCTCTCCTTGTCTTAAAAAAAAAGACCAACCCCCCCCCCACCAAAAAAACCCCAAATAACTGAAGTCAACATACATAAAGTACATTAATCTAAAGGATATAAATAAATGACTATATATGTAACATCAAGACAGAGCCCATTTCCAGCACCCCAGAAGGTGTCCCTTCCCAATCCATACCTTCCCTCATGAAAGTTAAACATTTACTTTGAGTTCTATCATCAAATAGTTTTGCCTCTTCTTGAACCTAATGTAAATGGAGTCATGTGTGTACTTTTGTGTCTGAATTTTGTTGTTGTTCAATATAACTTTTGTGGGATTCACCACATTGCTGTGCATGTCATTAGTTCATTCTTTTTTAATGCCATGTGGTATTCCATTTTATTTCATTTATTTATTTTTAGAGAGAGGGGGGTGGGGGAAGCAAAGGGCAAAGGGAGATGGAGAGAGAGAATCTTAAGCAGGCTCAATGACCAGCATGAAGCCCGACATGGGGCTTGAACTCATGACCCTGAGATCATGACAAGCCGAAACCAAGAGTCAGGTGCTTAACTGAGCCACCCAGGTACCCTTACTATTCCATTTTAGATATATACCACAATTTATTTATTTATTCATTCTCTTATTGATGGACATTTGGACTACTTCAGTTCTTTGACCATTATGAAAACAACTGTTATGAGCATTCTTATATACTTTTATATAGTCGACATATACACTAATTTCACTTCCATATAGACTCAGAAGTGGAACTGCTGGGTCAGAGAATAGGTGTAATTTATACAAATCTTCTAAACAATGAACATTATTTAAGTATAATCAATCCTGTATCACACATTATTTATACAACTAATGAATCAAAACTTAATCTACCTACCAACTAACATTTGGGATAATTTTTTCTTTTTAAGATTTTATTTATTTTAGAGAGAGAGCGAGCGTGCACTCAAGTGGGCAGGGGGAGGAACAGAGGGGGAAGGAGAGAGAATCTGAAGCAGACTCTCCCCTGAGTGCAGAGCTGGACACGGGAGTTGATCCCACACCCTGAGATCATGACCTAAGCCGAAACCAAGAGTTGGGACGCTCAACCAACTGAGCCACCCAGGCACCCCTGGGATAATTCTTGGTAGAGAATTTACCTTTTCCTTGAGTGGCGGGGAGCAGGGACTAGAAGCAGGGCTATCAGGTGGGGAGGAGTCTACCTCCACTGGCTCTTCTTCTTTGATTTTGATGTCTGGTGTGGAAGGCAAAGACATGTCAAGGGGCCCAGCAGCAGCCTGTTGAAAGAGTGAATAAGCAAAGTTCAACCCATGATTCCCTATAGGCTGAATCAAAATCTTTCCAGGTTCTTTTCTTTTTTTTTTTTAAGTAGGCTCCACACCTAATGTAGGGCTTGAACTCACAACCCTGAGATCAAGAGTCGCATGTTCTACTGACTGAGCCAGCCAAGAGCCCCAAGAAAATATACTTCTAAGTTCAGCCCTTGGTCAAAGAACTGAACTGTAAGTCAAAGAAATATGAAACCTAGGTTTTATGTACAACTCTGGCCAGATCATTTTAACTTCTCAGAACTTCTGTTTTTCTAACTGTAAAATAGAATTAATTCCTGCTTCACCATGGGTGAACACTTATAAAGATTCTGAAAGGAAAAAAAAATACTTATAAATGTTTATAAAGACCCTGAAAGGAAAAAAAAAAAGATGTCATTTAAATCCATGCAAATATCATAATTATATAACTTTTCATGAAAGTAAAATGATTCCTGAATCCAGTGCTTGCCTATTTCCAACCAGCTCTGCTGGCCACTGGAGAACTGTGAGCACTTTTTCTGCCAACCAGAAGGACTAGATTACCCAAGTATCAAAAGCAAACAAAGGCAAATTAGCTATTGAAGTACTACAAACAAGATAGGAAAGATCTTTTCCAGGGAACTTCCCATGCTCGATGGTGATTTCATCCCAACATCTGATGTTAGAGGCCAGAAGTCAGGAAGCTAGGGTTTGGGGGTAATAAGGAAAGGAAAGGCTGGCTATTTGATCAGTTAAAGAAATTAGAACTTGATCCTAGAAGTAGGACTGGAGAAAACCAGAAAGGAAAGAGAGTACTTTTCTGGCAGTGGTGATCACTTCACAGAACCATGGAGCTGTAAATGGCTTTGCAGGGATCCATATACCATCTGAGAGGGCAGCCCAGACACTGCACCACGCCAGGAGGGCTGCCACTGCAGTCCGGTTTCATGACAAAATAGATCCTTTGTTCTATTCTTCCCATATCTTAAGCTTTTTGGTCAAAGAGGAGCTTGTTTCTAACTCTTCCCTTGCTACCTTAATCCTAGAAATCTTGGTAGTTGAGCACACTGAAGATAATCTGGCATCTACCACATTAGAGAAAGTGGTAATGGTTCTTTCTCTCCAATCTGATGGGGGTGAGCAATAGCAAAGATGCTTTCATTTCTGCCCTCATTTTTTTCTACATTGTGAAGATGTTGGGCCCAATTCAGCTAATTCTGGGATCCCTGAAGTCAGAGGGTGGTGGGAAGGAGAGGCCTCTAAGTAAATAGAACCAAGGGTTTAAAATCCCTTTGAGGCATCTCCTAGAAAAGCTGTGGTTCAGTGAAATTTTAGACTCAGTCAACATTCCTGGATACAATCTTCTACTGAGTCTGTTCTTCTCATCAAGGGGAGGTAAAGACCACCCCTGTATAGACAGGAAGAAATACTGAGATGCCCAACGGATAAAAGCCTGACCAACTATGAATGGCTTCCCAGAAGTGTCAACTGAGTTAAAATGGCAGTACAAAAGACTTCACACTTTTAAAGGGAGGTTAATTTTCTTGAATTTGCCTATAATGAGTTTGATTTTAAATCGCTCACATCCTGGTGGAAACAATTTGACTGATTTGTCTTGGGAGAAGGAGAAATGATGGTGGTGGGGGGGATGAGGTAGGGAAGCTGTAAAATAAAAGTAAACCACGTAGGTTGAAGCCACAGAGAGATGAGAGACTGGAGTCTCTAAAGAAAAACAACGAGAAGACTGTGGCTAGTCCAGCCATTTGAAAGTAGAACTACAAATATATGCCATTGGATTTCCCTGCTTTCTTTCGGTTTGAGGGAGACAGCAGGAAAAGAAGCTCAGAGGAAGCTACGGAAGTTGGAAAAAACTCCAGTGATAAGGACACCTTATCTTGCATTCTTACAATTACATTTTAAGCTGGATGAAAAAAAATCATGCACAACTCTCTTGATTTATCTGCTCTCTTCTTCTTAGAGGGAAAGAACTCAGAATAAGGGATTCCAACATTCTAATCCTCTCTACAGTATCCACACTAAGTGGCCTACATCTAATTGCACACACTTTGCGATAGCGTCCACCTGCTGGTCCTATTTCTACCTCTAGGCCACACAGAGTAAGTTTAACCACTCTTTTACATGAAAGCTCTTCACATATTTGAAGACTACAATTTTTTTCACCTTAAAACCTCTTTTCCAAGCAAAACTTCCTCAGTTTCTTTTTATGTTCCCAAAGTGACATAATTTTTAGTTCTTTCACCATCCTGGTTGATCTCCTTTGGAAGGCATTAAAAACACCCTTCTTGAAGTTTAATGTCTTGAATATTACGAGAAAGCTACCTGAAGGTAAGAGCTGCATATATTGAAACAAAGAAGTGTCAAGATTCAATAAATGTTTGTTGATTGGCTGACTGAATGGTAACAGTCCAGGTGAGAAGTCTGATTAGCTCAGAAAAGAGTGAGAGATCTAACCCCCAAAAATGTTATCTCACAGAATCTGAGTAATTTATAATCTTTTAACATCCTTAACATATTCAGAAGAGAAATAATTAAAAAAAAAAAAAAAGGATTACTGAACTAATGCTCCACTGAAAGGGCAAAGAGCCTAATTTTTGGTAAAGACAGACTTGTGCTGATCCATCACATCTGGAACCCCTGAAGACGTGGAAGGCTGACTTGGATTAGTGGGTATTATCTGGTTCTAAAGAACGAAGCCCATAATTTTGTGCTTTAACCGACTAAGCAAATTATCCCAGGGCACATTGAAAATAGCCTCCATCTGAACACTGCCAGTTTGTCAGCAAAAGTCCCGCCTCTTGCCTTTTTTTCCTCCTCATCTGCAGCTTTCTTGAATTCATGTTCAAAGGAGCTAGCTAATTCATTGAAGAGCCCCACCTCCTCACAATTCTTCAGGAATCTAGTCGGAGTAGGAGTCTGATCTGCAGACATGGGAAAAAAAAAAAAAGGAAACTTTATTTTAGTTTTGATCTGAAATTGAAACTTGACAGTATATAGAGAACACATTTTTATTGTTCTGTTTGGAAAGAGTCTCTGTGTTAGGGCAAGTTTGCTTTTACGGAGCGAGAGCAGGTGAAGGCCAGTGCTAGGCCACCAGAGGGTGTCTGTGCTGTGCGGCCTCGAGGCCGGCAGGCGGAAGACAGGATGATGTTTTGTTGTGTGACTATCCCTGTAACCCCCTTTCTCCCAGAGGCTGGTTTCACCTCCCTCACCCCCAAACGAAACAAAACCACCCACCCAGGTGGAGTCTGTGAAACCTCCAGATCTGAAAATCAAGGACAGTTAAGCGACATTTTCTCTTTAAACTTACTCCCTGCTAGGTCTGAAGTGAGCAGGTATAAGCAGATGGACGTTAAAATCTGATGAGGAGAAGAAACTGAGGATCAGATGGTTGACTTTGCTTGCTAAAGCTACCAAATAAGAAATGGTGCCTTGTCTTTCAGTGGTCACTGAGGTAAGGGTCTGTTACCTTCTGAAGGCATTCCAGGCAATCTAGGGGCTGGGGAACAAGACAGCAAGATCATGAGCTAGAAAAGGAAACTGCAAACAATAGAGCTCATTTTACAGAGACCTGGGCCCAGAGCAAATTCCGGAAACCAGGATATTTGGATTTAGATTTGCCAGCCAAAATATCCTCTCAGGGGCTGCACAAATCTTTCCTCAACAGTGCCTCTGCCCTTGGGAAGAGGAAGGCAATCAGTAACCCATGGGAACTTTCTAAGCAACTTGAATTTTAGATTTGAGCTCCTCTCTCCCCATTCTGATTTTCTAGTTTTTCTCTCTTAGGTCAGTTAAATTCTGTTCCCGGATCTAAACTTCTATTATGATGGTTTTCTTTGACATGCTAGTCACCTCAGGGACTCATTCATACCCCAAACCACTAAATTGAATGACAGAAATAGAACAATGTTTAAATGATGTTTTAAGGAGTGAGACCTGGGATTAAAATTGTTCCCTTTAGCATGATCGATTGGAAATAGTCCACTGGGATTTTCCAAGGAACAGCATAATTTTTTTTTTTTTTAATTTAAACAAAACCTCTTCTGAATCAGAGTGTTTGGAAAAGTTACCACTACCTCCCAAAATAGTTTTAAAAGGTCCTCTGGAAGCTTTGGTTGGCCAATGATGAAGCCACTTTTCCTCCATCCCCGGGTGAGTGGAGGTAATATCATCCTTTATGCTCAAGAGTTCTTTAGTAAGGGCACACACAGATCACAACTCAAGTGAAACAGGACGGGGCAGCTAAGGGCATGGTGATGGCAGAAGAGGGCCTTTGGCTTCTCTGACCTGAGACCCATACAAACTGCTCCCAAACAACCAGCCAGAAAATATACAGGAAAACCTTTAGTGTGCTCTGATGATTCTAAAGAAATCAACAAGTGTTCACTGAATACTTTCTACATGTTTTGATGCTATATGCATATATACTTGTGGGTAAATTTGGGGGAGGACAGGGATAAGAGTATAGGAGTTTTGCCCAAATATATAAGACATGGCTCTTGCCCTATGGAACAATGAAAATGTTTTCTAGTTGAGGAAATAAACCAGTATACATAGACAGCATCATAGTATACAAAAAAATAGGTGCCATGTGTAGTAGAGAATAAATTTGTTAGAGTAATTAAATAAAGACAAATTAATGACAGAAGAGTTAGGAAGTTTCAAGAAGTGGGACTTGAGCTGGGCCTTCAAGAATGGTTTTCACCAGGAGAAAGATGAGAAGATTTGGAGGGTAAGAGGAGTAAGGCAGGTAAAGGCAGAGAGAGAGGCAGGGTATGGGGACCACATATAGGTGAGGAGGAAAAGGTAAGCCTAGCGTAAAGATAATCAAGTCAGGGGGAGCCTGGCTGGCTCAGTCGGTAAAGCCTGTGACTCTTGATCTTAAGGTCATGAGTCCAAGCCCCACGTTGGGTGTGGAGCCTACTTAAAAAAAAAAAAAAAGATAAGTCAGGTATATAAGTTGTATACAAAGTTGGGTAGGTAGATTATAGAATTATAGATTATAGAAAGCCTGAGAGTCCAAGAATAAATAGCCTTGAAAGTAAAAGAAAATAGGAAGATTAGGACAGATTTTTAAAATTTAAATTCAATTAATTAACATATATCATTAATTTCAGAGCTAGAATTCAGTGATTCATCAGTTGCATGTAACACCCAAAGCTCATTACATCACATGCCCTCCTTAATGCCCATCACCCACCCCCCCTTCCCTCCAGCAACCCTCAGTTTGTTTCCTGTGATTAAGAAGAGTCTCTTATGGTTTGAGCTTTTTTTTTTTTTAAATCTAAGAGCATTTTATTTAGAGGGAGATGGTTTTTAGTTTTTTTTTTTAAGATTTTATTTATTTATTTGAGAGAGAGAGAATGAGAGACAGAGAGCATGAGAGGGAGGAGGGTCAG